TTAGTTTTTTATGAATGTATGAATGCATGTAAAGGCATATGTACATATCTAGTGATGTGTTTACGGTACAGGATGAAGATATGAAAGTAATGTACAAATGTAATTTCATTCATGTACACGAACAATGTACATATATATATTATGTACATCATCACAAAGTAGGCTATCCGTTTTTTTAAAGTTTGAGCCATAATTTCCGTATAAACATTTCGCATGAACAGTGACAAATTTTGCAGTTGATGTCACCAACAAGGTGAAAATAAGTGGAAAAACATGTACAAATTGCACGCCAAACAACATGGACATGGTCACTGGTCAAAAATTGTAACTAAAACCAGACACTACATATATCCCAAAATCAAAGGGTTCCGTCATCCACCCCGCTCTCCTGTGGGCATGGTTGGAATGGATCGGATGTGAACCCTACAATCCTGGCATGCCCGGGGATAACCCTTCATGCAATTACAACATGCACATGTAAAATGGCCCTTAAACCTAGTAGTAGAGGGGGGCCCATTTCACTTCAGCCACCCCTTCACTCATCGTCCCCCAATTTACCACAAAATACCCAAACTAAACCACGGCAAAACCGAAACACCATAAACACATGCTACCCACTTTTTAAAATTTTGCCCTTCGGCACCCCGAAAACATCTGAAAACCGTCTCGACCTCATAAGATCGGGTTCCGATTTTTCCGTGGTTTAGTTTCCGATTACCTTGAAACGGACGATGAGTAAAGGGGTTGCCGATCCGAAACAAAGCTCCCCTCTCCTACTTTTTCTTGAGAGTGATTGTTGGTGCGATCGGTGCTGGTCACGAGTTGTTTACAGGAAAAGTGCGCCGGGGTCAAGAGTTCAAGGTAACTGGAGATCCCCGGCGCGAGTGGTGGATAAAAGGGATTTTGGCCCCAAAGGTGTATATTTTTAGAGCCGATTTTTGGGGTCGATGAGGTACCCAGGGAAAATTGTTAAAATCTGGAATTCCAGATTGTTGGGGGATTCCCCCGATTTTTTGAGTCGATATACTACCCGGGGTTTTTGCTGAAAATGGTGAAAAAGTGGGTGTGCTCCACAACTGTCAGTTTTCCTACTACTACATCCAGCCCATGGCAAGCATTTTCGAACTCATCGAACAGCTTCTTGAAGACCCCAGGGAGATGTGTAATGTTTGGAAGAATTACCTGGATTCAGGAAATGATGAAAATTAATATTCAGTGTAGCAAGTTTTGAGGTGAACCATGATGAGAAATGAATATCTTTCATATCGTTGGCGTTTTCACGAAGGGGCGAATTTAGCCTTTCACAGTCTAAACGAACATGTGAGAAAAACGCGTGCAAACGTTCATCCTTTTTTGATTTGAAACTTTACAGCTTAAGAATGCCTGGATATGTGAGTTTGCGGTATCGGTGGAAAGGATAGTGTCTCCGCTTTTGAAATACTTGTAATTTGAAGAAAACGGGTTGTTTAGTTTTTCAGAATTAATTGAGTTAGAGAAGTGACTGTTCGTGAAAACGCAAAAATGATAAATGAGCAAATTCGCCCCGTGCGTGTAAAATTCGCTTCTTCGTGAAAACGCTCAAGTCAGCACGCGCGAAATTCACCCCACTGGGATTCAAATTCGCCCCTTCGTGAAAACGTTCCGAGTCTGTTTGTACAGTTTTTGCCCCCTTAGCAAACAATAAGTCTATGCTATTTCAAAGCGATCATGTGTAGCGGCGCTGTGAGTATTAGAGAAATTCAGATGCCGTGGAAAGTACAAAGTTAAACTTGTTTGTATTTGTATTATGTTTTTTCCATCTACAAATAAAGCAATATGACACTTCCTGTATTCACACAGTTTTCAAGAATTTAGACTGATTAACATAATAATCAATTAAAGAATCAATTATGTTTATTTTCCAGCATTACAAATTGGATTTTTTCGCATCTGTATATTTACAGGTTTAGTATTTTTCAGTTTAAAAAGCAGAGGCAAAATCCATATATTACAAGCATATTACATACATTATATGAATTCATTCATACAGGCTTTACAATTACAATCGTGGATTTACAATTCTAGATGTAATGAAAGTAAAAAGAATAAATAATAACATGATTTAAAG